TTACTGTTATCTGCATAACTAAAAAATGCAGTAGGAAGTAAACTTTATATATACATCAAAAGAAATACTAAACACGAAAACTAGTTCATCCATTTGCAACACAAACACACACATAGTCATAACTGCAGCACCAAAGCCCGTTAGATCACTGTTGCTGCTACATAAACTTACAATCCAGACCAGACCACACAAGCTAGCTGTGAAAAGAAACACACAAACAAAGAGGCCCTGGAAAAATTAGCAATTAATATCGAAGACAATAAACAACAAAACAATTATATAAAGAGAGTTATCACCAATCAGGACTCCATCCATGGGGATTCCCTCAATTCATCCCCAAGAAAATTTTTTCATTCCACAAATTGTTGCTATGTACATTAGATGCCTAGAAGAACAATCCATAAAGGAAAATAGAAGCAGAGAAGCACAGAATGAAAATTTTCAAATCAGCAAAATGTTCATCTCATTACATTGAATTTTTCAGAGAGGCTCAAGGAGCCATATTCATTTACATCAAATTTCAACAGGACTCAAACGGTGCTACTCACCTATTACGTCAAATTTCTTTCCAATGAAGCAATACAGGATATTACTTCTTTTCCAAAGGTCTAAACAAATCAATATACAGCATTACATTCAGATAATTGATGTATCAAAGACTCTTCCCTAAGCGCAGCCCTCTTTCTTATTTCACTCATCTCAAGCTTAAGTTGATTGCTTGCCATCTCCTCACTTTTCATCTTGATCAGCTCAGCAGGTTTGATATCTCCACAAAGAACCTTTCTCCTCAAGTCTGGATTTTTTGCATCCCTCAGGTTGAACAGAATGGACCTGTACTTCATCTTTTGATTACCAAGGCAAGTACCCATCTGAGTAAACATCTCAGACTCCAACATTGCAGCAACCTCAACAGGATCCCTCGAACACATATTCTTTCCAATCTTTCCCCTCGATTCTGATGCTACCTTTGAGAAGGCTTCTTCAAGCATGGCCCTGACTTTTTTTCTTGATGCATCTTCCTCTTTCTGAGATGAAGGCTGAACAGGAGTTTGCAATGGCATCTTGAGGCGAATGATGAGCCCTTTGTTCGAAGCTTTGGTGGACTCTTCCATCTTCAAAGGTGAGGGTTGAAGAGGAGACAACTTTGAAACATTGTCAGAACTCAGTTGAGCAGTAGGCGCAGGCCGCAACTTGATGCGAATGACACCGGGCCGCGTCGAACGTTTTGAGAGTTCGATCTCTCTCTTCTTCCACACATCGATAAGCCGAGAAGCTGCAGAGCAGATCTTTCGGCTCTTGTGCTTGCAGAGATTTAGAAGCTTCTTGTAGATTTTGTGGGTGTTGATGATTTCAGCGTTGAAGGGACAGGTTTCAAGCTTCTTCAAACAATCAACACATCTGGAAATGTCAGATGAACCGCGAAGAATACCCTTTATGTTTGCAGAATCAGCGGCTTTCTTGGCAGCTGCAAGAATTTCCAATGTTTCATCCATCTTGAAATCTATCTCGCAGGCAATAGAGAATCTGAAGAAGGAAAGGTTTCAACGGTTTGTTTGGAAGAGAGAAACGCAGAAAGAAAACAGAGACTGAATCTCTCCTCTTCTTATCACAAAAGCAAGGAAAGGGAAGCGATTTGCAGAAGAATGAAAACAACAGAAGGAAACCCAGAGAATGTCTTCTATTTCGAAACAAGAAGGGAGACAAACTGTAAATCCCTTCTATCGATTTGGAACAGAGAAGGCCTAAAAGAAAACACAGAGGTTGAATCTCTCTCTTTCTTACCACAGAAGCGATTTGCAGAAGAATGAAAAATATGGAAGGAAACCCAGAGAGTCTCTTCTTCTTATTCTTGAAAACAAGAATGGAAACAAACAGTGAATGTCTTGTTTGGATTTCCGCTTCTTATCCTTCTTTTTTCTTAGAAACAGAGACTCATCTTCTCCTCGTCGGATCAGGAAAACAGAGTTTAAATTTTGAAGTGAATTTCCTATTATGCCCTCAACTTACCGTTGATTGTGTTGCAATCTCGGGTCGGGTCTTAGCTGCTGCACCCTCGCGCCATTTACAGAGAATAAATATATTACATTAAGCATTTCCCCATGTCCATGCCTAGACCCAGGCCCAGGACCATGTCCAGACCGAGACAAAGGCCCAAACTATGATCCAAGCCTAGACACAGACCCAGACGCAGGCCCAGACCCAGACCCAGGGCCATACTTGTCTTCCATTTACTAACTTATACATACATATATATATATATATATGTATATATTCCTCTTAAGCTGAAAAAATAATCAATGTTAGAATAAATTAAATATGTAAAAATCTAAATCATGTTTTAAATGAAAATTTTAATTTATTTTTGTTAACCCAATTTTTTTATTTTCGCAATTTAAGAGGGATATGAATTAAATTATCTGAATTTTTAATATTTAGGGTAAAATTAAATTATTATTTACTTACTCTTAAATATAGGGTTTAGCGTGCGTGGGTTACATTGTGGGATGATGCGAAGGATTCTTATTCAAGATTTGCTCTTTAAACATTTTACTATCAATTTATTTGTCTTCTCAGATTGATGAAATGGATTCGAAAAAATTCTATTCATTAATCAAATTATTTGTTTCAATAATATAGTTCATTTGAATTGTAAAACATATATATAAGCTAGAATTTTCGTACTGTTAGCTTGTGACATTTTTTAAATTTTATCTCATTTATAAAATAACTCTACTCTAAAATTTGAACTAACTCGAAGAAAATTTTAAATTTGTAAAAGAATTCAACAAAATTCTTAATCTGTTATAACTCTAACTTAAAGTATCGACTAAAATAACTCAGCTTTGAGTTCTATACCATTTTACCTATAGAGCTCGCAGCAAATTTATATTTGAGAAAATTCATATCAAATTTTGTGCTTTGTCCAATAATTTTATGATACAATCTCTTAACATGTTAACCTATCATCTATTCACACCACTGTACCTAAGAGGTTAAGAAATTGTCCCACGAACTTCTTTTGTGACACACATATTCTTCTTCTCTTATGGATTTAGATCTAGAAAATTATCTAATATATATCATCATGTCCATCAAGAGACAAAAATTCTAACAAACTATACCATTTTTTTAGGTTATCTGCAATTTTTGTTTAAACCTATAAATATTATTCATCTATAATTTTAAGGTCGAATTTAGAGTTACACTAAGAGCTCGTGAAGAAACAACAACGTCAAATACTTGGCTTACACACCCTATTTCATTTTGGTGCCTTAGGCTCATCCAAAACACCTACTAAGGCTTTAGTAAAGCCAAGGCTCCTTCATTCAGCCCAAAGTAAAAATCAGCCACCAGTGTGGCTAATTTAAAATTGAAGTGTTTAATGTAACGGCCCCGGAAATTTAAATGAAATATATGTATAAAAAATGTCAAATGCGGAAGTGTAATAAAAATTTTGATTAACATCCTTTACACAATCACCAAAATGTATTCAAAACATGAAAAAACAAACTAACTAAAAGAGATACTCGAGATAAGAACTATAAATATAACTATGGAGTCTTTAGGCGTCCCCTTCGCCGTCTTCCTGCAGAACGGGCTCGGGAACAATGTCTTCCTGATCTGAAATGGTTAAATAAGGAATGAGCTACACCAGCCCAGTAAAGACATCACACTATCTCACCGCCACGGAAGTAAAGGTGGGTAGAAAACAAAAATGAGCAATGGAGCATAATTTATAACGAACTCGTTTATTAATATAAAAATCTTTACTGTTCACTTACCTTGGTGAGATCCATGAAAACGACATATGAAAGCAATAACATTATCATCATCATGAAATCATATAAACTGTATAAGATAACACTTACCACACCTTTGCATTTCAATCATTAAACAACAGATTTTTCTCTTTTACCAGCCTACTAGTATCCACGGGGATCCATAAGGGGTCCCCGCTACTCGTGAGCAATTAGCATTACAACCTGATTCCAGGGCCGTCCCCATACCCCGTCCGGTATGGGCGCCAAAACCATGAACCTCAATACCCCATCCGGTATGAGGGTGAAACGGGCTATCCCCATACCCCGTCCGGTATAGGCGCCAAAACACATAAGGTCTCCATACTCCGTCCGGTATGAGAGACCACGTTCCCGGTAGGGTTCTCTATGGACCTGGTCCGTCCACCATCTCCCAGGATATCTAGTCAAGCTGTTCACATTTTTCACTTATCAAT